CAATACTACATAATACTTCCTGAGATACCGCAAATCAAGTAAAATATTGAAAGACTGCAGAAATATGCGTCGCCTCTTTTTTTAGTAGTTTTAATTATAAAACAACTGCCTGGATTTCCTTTCAATTTTTCGAATTAAACAAGATTTAATCTGTACTTATAAAATATCTGTATGGTTATGTTAAGTTAGATTATTCAGAATATTACAATTTTAGGCTAAATTTGAACCCAACAAGATCTAATGGGTTAAAATAATTTCTAAAACCTAATATATATAAATATAAACTAAAATAAGGATTCATAATTTCTTTATTTGTATTATTAATTACTGAAATAAATTATAGAACGATGTAAATTGTGCGTCATCCTTAGCTATTTCTAAAAAAAGATTAGATAATATTATTTATGATATCATTTAAAAAGTTCACATTATGCAGAAAGTTTGAAATTTTTTTTGATTTTTCTTCGTTCTTGATTTTTAACCATTCAATTATAATTAAGTAATGCATTCACTTCGACTATACTATTTTGTAACTCCTCTTTATTTCCTTTTTACTTTATTAATTTCTCTTATATTTCCTCTTTTTGTCATTAATTTTAATTAATTTTCATTCTTACTTTAACTACTATTGTTATTAATATTAATATTGATTTAATATTAATATAAACACATGGTGCTTGCTGCCTTGCTTGGTTTGTTTTCAATAAATAAATAAACTAAAGGAATTTTTCTGAAAATCAGCCATTTCCAAACTAATATTTGCTAATAGGAAATGCACTAGTTCGGTATCAGAAGCAACTGTCCAGCTGTCTGAAAAGGCTGCCAAAAATGCCAAAATGTGAACACGAAGGAGATCCTGACTACCGTACGCTTCGAAGAATTGTAACGACAGCAGCATGGGGAGATAAAAATCGCCATTAAAGCGAGATGCCCTTGAGAGTGGAGACGACGGCTCGATTGAGCGATAATAGGAAAATTATTCCGCCTTTTTATAAAGTAATTATAACTCGGGGAACGATCAATAAAATAGTGCGGGATAGCAATGGTGTGCCTATTAAAGGTATTTAGGATCGCCTCATAAGATGAAAAGAATTCTTTGAGGCCAAACACTTAACCAGGGCGCCATCTGTTTTTTATCTTTGGCCTGTTGAAAAAATGCTAGATTTTAAAAAATGTCCACTCTAACCGCAATTGATTAAGCGAAAGATGAAATTACAAGCAGGTAATGGTAGCTAGAAATGTTTTCTCCCGATTGATGGAACCTTTATGGACTCATAACAATATCACTATAAAAATGAAAACCTGCCTGCGTCCATGTAACTGCAATTCGCTCGATCTTATTATATGGCTGCCAGAAACGGTGAGTATTATAGAAAAAATGGATAGATGAAACAAAAGGTATTGAAGCAGTTATAAATAAATTTAAAGAATTTTAAACTAGAAATATCGACATTTTTTGCTATTTAATAAATAGCATTGAGAGTAGAGGATATTAAGAAGCTATCTGCCTTTGGCCACTCATTTCTAAGATACATCTTACGAGTCTGCAGAGCGGATTAAATCGCACATGATTGCATCCACCCTCACTCAAATATATGCATTATAATAAAGTTATTAAAGTTATCTTGGAAGCTTAGATATCAAAAATTAAATGCAATTGAGGTGGCTATTCACATTCAGTTTTGTTTAAACCCCGTTCATCTCAAGTTTTAATTCGAGTTATATTCGATTAATACCTTTTCAAAACATAAAAGTATGAAATTCACCCAATTTCCCTTTATTCGCATTAAATTTCTTTTACCTTCTCATACTCTTCTCATAGAAAAAAAATAAATTGATTGGGTGTTAAAATTTCAATATCCTTAAGCAATGACTTGTTTTATTTTCTTTCTTGAATTTTGGAAAAATTCAAAATAAATAAAAATAAACGCTGATTTTGATCGCATGCTCAGTCGAGCTACATATATATAAGGTTGAAAATAGAAATACTTCCACACACCGAATCGAAAGGCTTGAAAACATAGGTCCGGCTAGTGCCGCCAATTAGTAACAGGATTCAGAGGTATATACTAAGGGAATAGTTTTGAATGGATACTGGTTCCACTTCGGGCAAATTTTTCAGCGTCGAAAGTAATAAAATGTTTAATAAGCAACTTTCAAAAAGTTCTTCTAAATTTTAGATCATTTAAGAAAATTAGTTGTAATGAACGATAATGAAATTTTTGAACCACACATTTATGGAGATATTTATATTCATAAATCAAAATATTTCAATTAGTAGTCCAATTAGTAATTGTAATTTCCGCATTATTCATTTTTTCATTTTAGCATATTCTTGAAATTAGAGGAGCGAAATCTTACTCTGTATAAAATATTCAAATCTATCTCGTATTCGCTCATAGCGTCCTTTTTTTACTACTTCCATTGAATGTTGGAAAAGTTAGAAATTTCTGCAAAAAAAGCCACTTGACGATAGGAATACAAATGGATCGCAAGCGCAGTATTTTCTAATAATTTACTTCTATCGGGATAGAAGCGGAAACGCTGCCTTCCAAATGATAATAAGGATGATAAGGAGCACTATATGCCATTCTATCCTATTTCATATGATCATAAAAAGCAATTAAAATATTCAATATCTTTTAATTCTATCAAAATTTTCGGAAGTAATTTAAATAAAAAGTAATAAAATAATTAAAATTAATAATTAATAATAATTAAAATAAAAAAATTATTTTTCGACATTGAGTGGATATTAAATATTTAAAAAAATTTTTTGTTTCTCCATTTTAAATGCAGTGCAAATTTACTTGGTCAAGTCCTTTCTCATTTATTAGGTCTCAATAGTTTCTTCAGCTTCTAACATTAGATTTTAACTTTTCGATTGATATGCCATAGTCCTTTTTTGCAATGTAATAATATTACTATTCTTTTCATGAAGTGGCGATGGTTTCATATTAATAATTATTATTTATATTATTGGTAATTATATTATTATTATTAATAATTATATTATTAATATTAATAATTATTGGTCATTCCCATCATTTTCCATCATATTTTTTCAGAACAAACAAGAAATGAATTTTGCCCATAATGGACAATGATTCATTCACTTCGAATATTGTTGAACTGAAAGGTACTTTTTTGTCGCCGCGAAAGACGTCAAGCACTTGAAATCCTACAAATGAATGCTTGAATAGAACAAACAAGGTTGGAAAAAGCAGAAAAATAAAGATGGGCATTTGGTGATGAAAATTAAAACACCTTTTGAAATAATCTACTTCAATAGTGAGGAACAATTTTGAGAATAAATATTCTCAACTGGTGGGGAATTTCTTCCCGCGAAGAATCTTGAGATTTCAAAGAGAAATGGATATAGGCTTGCAAAATTCCAAAGTCAAATAAGCCGTTCCAATAGAGAGCCATATAATCAGGAAGGAGGGAGCAATTTACTCTGTCATTTGGTGGATAGAAAAAAACTGCAGAAAAATGCTGGGGAATGAGGTTTGATTCTTGAATAAGCACTGAGTTGATTTGATGCTGACTCGTTGAAAAATAAAAAAAGTCATTGTCATAATCACAGACTTAAATTAAACAAACAAAAATGAAATAGAATCTTTTTATGTAGAAGGTTCCAAATCAATAGTGTAAGGGGCACTTTTACATATGAAGAGAAAATTATTGATCGATCTATCTGACCCATAAAGGTCGTTGAACTTTTTGCAGATAGGCATTGTTCATGGCGACGTCGCAGACAACAACCACTGCTTTATGTATAAGGCTAAATTAGTTTTTTGCTGAATTAATTTTTACCTTCAAAAAGTAAGGCTAATCGCAAAGGTCCGTAAATTCGATGAGCATTGAATACTACGCGATCCACTTTACCAATCGGTAAGCCTAAGAAAAGTAATCCATCTTTTTTAAGGAGGCAATGAATTTTGCGAATCTCTCGAATATCTCCGACTGGATCTAAAATTTAAATTTTTAAAAATTTTAAAAGAGGAGGTAAAATATTTTCAATATTTTTACTACTAAACTGTTGGACTGTTAACTTATTTTATGCTAATCAAAATGCCAAAATTTCATTATCGTTGATACCACTGAATTCGGTAATCTCAAAGACACTATCACCAATATCGAGTATTGAATTTTTTTAGGAAATACCTAAAGGATCACCGTAACGACCGAGGCCGCTATGTTCTATGCTCGAAAATTGGGCAATAAAATCGAAAGATTCGTTAAGTCTGCAAATTCATAATTCAATTATCAATAATTAATAGAATTGTTAAAATTAAATATCTCGAAAATTTCACATATTTTTATCATCTAAATATTTTCCACATCTTGGAAATCTGGTTATTTTTAGAAGCTTTTAATCATGAATTGAATTGTGAATAAATTTTCTTCACCTTCAAGCTTTTCTTATAAGCCAATACAACTCGAATAGGCCGGTTAATAAGTCCGCAATAATTTGCAGTAGTAAAGAATTAATAACCACAGTTCGCTTGGTTATTTTCTTTACACAGGAGAACTTGTAGCGTCGATGATAGCCATAATAGCTCGCACCATTATTGGTTAGGTTGGCTCTATTGGCTAGAAAGCTAAGACCAAGTTATTCGATACGACGCCATCGCTGATAGTAATAGAAGCCCTTCTTTTTTCCATCGTTTAAGTTCATATATCGCTGGTCCATCAATATGCTCAAAATTTTTCCAGGTCTTGGTTGGTTCTCCTTGTTTGTCACCGATCATCTGAGAGTAACTGAGAGTAGCAAGTAACTAAAGAAATCAACTCCTCCGTCCCATGACGAAGAACATGCCCTAACAAGCGGACGGGACGCTGTGAAATGGTATGTTAATACAAATGGTATTTAAGCAAAGATGGGTATTGCAATCGTAAGATTTTATATTTGCTCAGTGAACCCTTTAAATGTATCTTAAATATGAGTGGTGAAAGATAGATAACTTTTGAATAGCCTCTGTTATCATGGGTCATATACTAAGAGCGAATTGCAGCAATATTAAACCATAGCGGACTTTTTTTTCGTGATTTCGAGACGGTAAGGGTTTTACAAGAACTTATTTCTAATTACTATTATGCGGGTTGTAAATTCGTCTTTCCCTTGGCGATTTAGGATTATAGTGGATCAGGATATTTAAAGTCTGGTATTTTCTCGACTGGCGATGAATTGATAAAATAGCTTTTACACAGCTTTAACACCAGACGAAAGTTTTATAAAATTAAAGAATTTAGTAATTGAAAAAGCCTGAATAAGGAGAAACAACTAGGAGAGAGAAGAATAAGTACAATATAATATAAAACGGTCAAGAAAAAAATTATTGTATTACAGACTTGATGGATTTATAAAGGTTTGTAGAAGAAAATGGTTCTCATGTAAAAACATCTCTGAAGACGATTTCTTTATCTTCATCATTCAATATCAGCTGATAAAATTTATAAAGAAAATTATAAATACGTTTGCAAGATGGCTGAAGATAAGGGTATTTCACCAAAAGAACGAACTCACCAGCTAAGAAAAAGGTGCATGTGAAAATGCAAAATCAGATCAGCATTTTATAAGATTATAATTTAAATTGTGGAATGCTAACTTAATCTTGCATTTTACCATATATTTTTTATGAAGACCGACAGCGTACGATGGGAATTGTCAAATAGCTGAAAGAACAATTGAAAAATAGTTTTTTAATAGCTGGAAAATTCCAGAAAGAGTTCTGGACAGTAACTTAGAAAAACTTCCAGAAATTCGGATTATTCTAACCTTTTCCACTGTAGTGCTAAATTCATCGCATTAAGATATTCAATTTGAGGGTGATCTATTATTATTTTGTTGTAATCGACAGTTGTTACCTTCAAATTTTGCTGAATTTCTTTAAAAAAGGTCTAAATTTTGGTTTATGTGAAAATTCAATGTATTTGGCAAGCAAAAGAAATTCTACTATCATGTCTGAAATATTTGTCAAGTTTCCACTTCCTCCCCCACCCTCCCCTCCTTCCCTCCAAGGATAGAGGAGAACTTTTTCTTGACTGAAACAAAATAAGTAGTTGAATTGATAGTGCTATACTTACCAATGATGGTTAGTACGGTTAGAAATTTTCGTCTAGATCGCCAGTGGAATTTTTAAATCTCATTTGTTTCTATTGTGATCAAGGGCCTCTAATCTTGATTCAGATCGATATCAACTGATGACCCTTAACACTGGAGCAAAATAGGAATATCAAATCGCATATTTTTTTCTTGCCTTTTTTTTGGCTGTCAAATAACTTTACCTTTTTAGCTCCATTTCTCAGATAAATTATTTCGACCCAAGGAGTGACTGATCCGATAACTAATCCTGTCTTTCCATGAATTACATAGATTAACATAGCATGATGGATTGCAACTGAAATTTGTTACTTCAGCAAGATGATTCTACTAAGAACTGTACTATAAGAACTGTACTATAACTAGTTTGTCGTCGACTATAGTCTTTCTTCGTCAAATTCATTTTTGATTTAATTCTTTCCTCAACTACTAGCACATCATTTATCTGAGAGATGGTAATGGGCTGGGATACAAATGCTTCTCCAAAGTGTAATTAATTAATATTAATATAGTGAGCTAGCTTCATATTTGTTAATAAATTAAATATGTTACTTCCATCATTTCCATAATTTACAAAATTGGTATTTTTCAAATTATCATCAATTTCTGTTCTGTTCCATATTAATTGTTTTGATCGGCCTTCATCGTAATATCTAAAGTTTTTCAATTTGTTGAATGCATTTTTCAAATATGAATTTTGAAATAAATAAATAAATTTTTTAAATAAAAATAAAAGAAGGATATACCAAAGATTCAGTAATAATCAGTGGAAATAAGGATACAAATTTAAATTATTTGCAACAATACTTATCGTTGAAGAAAATTAACTATTAAGCTCTATGCTTTATAATTAAGCTTTATAATTTTATATTTAATATTTATCGTCATCAGATCAATTCCAAATAATTGCTATACATTCCGATAAAGGATTTCACTTCTATTAGGGCTTGGAGGATTCAACGAAAAATTTATAGATAAATAATCAATTTATCAAAAATAAGTACAAACAATATTTTGGTCACCTTTTATCCATTATCACGTGTCCATGAATAGAAAAAAATTTCAAAAGTGGAAATGGTATCGTTTTTGGAATTTTTCCTGTAGATCGATGGTTTTTAGAAATCACCAACCATTCATTAAAAACCTGCAACTTCAATTGCCTCTTCTTAACTACTGGAAATCAAAATCTAGAAAAGTGGTTTCCTAAGAAAAGTAAAATTTTTAGAATAACGATTTTCACACCTGAAAATTAATATAAAACATACATCATCACAAGTTTGTTTTTTAATCTGTTTCAGCACTGGTACTGGTTCAGTGTTTAGATATATGCGATAACCCATTTGCTTCAGTATTTCTTTTTCAAGTTTTGAGTAAGATATATAACCTTTTCCAGTTCGCAAGAACAATCTTCTAAATATAGTTTCTCTCAAATTGTACTAGAAAATTTTTGGTTTCTTACAATTCCCTACAAATTAATTTCTGTGCAAAGGACAAACAGCAAAACTTTGAAGACGACAGGATTCAAGAGGTGTATGCGATTTGAGTGGTGCCATTTCTACAGCTGCATTTGTTTAAATTTTTATTGCGAAATAATAAATTATGAAAAATTGCAAAAAAAATATGGCATTCGATGCTGAATTACTTGAATAAATCAATTACCTAATATTTACAGGAGATTTTTCCAAAAAATTAACATGTCTCATTTTCAAAATATGATGGAATAGTTCCATATATATAGATGAAAAATATGTAAAAATTACAGCTATATAAATAATTGCCGTCATCAAAATAGCCAGCAAAACTATTTTCCGTAACATTTTTTTTAGTTTTTTATCTGAAAAATCGCATTATTTTCTTTTTCTGCAAAAAAAATTTTATTTGGAAAAAGAAAATTTTTTCCAACTTATTGGTTTTCTTAAAAATATTCATTCGATTAGCGCCAAGCAATGAAAACTGAATTTTTCTTCCGGTTCTTCAGTTATTCCGATTGGGATATACCTTATTAGCTAGAAATGTAATTTTTTGGTATATAAGAATACAAAAACTTTTTACAGTTTTTCCAGGTTGGAAAGAGAAAAATCTGCTAAAATAAATAGAAATGAAGATGCAAATAAATTAATAGGCTGATAATAAACGAACAGAAGCGAGCAATATTTAATGAAAACCTAAAATGAAAACTTCGAGAAAAAAATTTATTCAAAACGTCTGATTTGATTATTTTGGTAGCATTCTTCTGAATATTAATGAAATTTGAAAACTTTTTTCAGCTTTTCCAGATCGGGCAGAAAAGGAACGAAAGGACTTATTTCGAAACTAATGAAATAGCCAGAGAAATTAATTGAACTACAACCGTTTTTGTTTTTTCCACTTTTTTCATGATTTTTTTGATTTTCCTTCTTTTTTTCTCATTTTTTTTCTTTGGCATACGTAAAATTTAAATTAAAATTAAAGTCATTAAAATTAAAGTTCAGATGGTTAATGGCTGCATTTCTGTATGAAATCAACACTGGTAAAACAATATGCGAGAAATCATTCCAACGAACGTTATTCTCCTAATTCGGTGGTGTAAGGAAATGGGTCGGAATAAAGGTGAAAGCTCTCGAGATAAGGGAATTATTATCATAGATTAGCTAAAGAAAAAGACAGATATCAGTGGACTTTACTGGTCGCGGCTGCGTGGGGTGCTAGAAAGCTTATGGACATCAGTGAATTCACTCTGTACATGCATCTAGATCTTACTTACCCGCTGGAAGCCAATATTTCTTACTCATACCCTCAGAAATTACTCTTTTTGCAACTGCCATTTTTCATAGAACTCGAAATTGCGGTGTCCGAGCATTCTCCTGTTTTATGCACTGCAAAGTGAGAGGAAATGCTAACAAAGCCTTTTCCAAGTAGCCACATCTACAAATATAAAAATAGCCACACATCCAGACGCACCCAACATTCATTCACTACAGATTCATGCGTACATATTATGCCTCTACACCTAATTCATCTAAATAGATGTGCATTCCCGTAAACAAACGAGCTACTGTGTAGGTTGTCAGTCCAACAGTCCAATACATCTAGCCGGCCACCTTAATGAGGAGTCACTGTTCGGAGGCTCAACGTGCCGCGATAGCTCACTTTTTAAAACTGATAGGTAACGATAAGGCCGTTGAGGAGATTATATATAAATGATCTAAACTTAACCTAAAGCCCAAACTTAATCTATGGCTCTTTAATTAGGGTTAGTTCTTGCCAGAATCTAATTTGCATCGTCCTTCTCAAACTGCCATTGATATTTCCAAATATACTAGTTGAAATTTTTGAAATTTCCGAATTAACGCACAAATTTTTGCAATGTGGAAACATGAGAATACTATAACATGAGAATACTATTCAATGATTGTCTTGTCGGTCAAACATGGCCATTATATCGACTGTCAAACAAATTATTGTCAATGCTCTACCATAATTTTTATCAGAGCCTTAACTATTATGGTGGGTGGCTTAATGGTAAATTGATTCCATGGAGAATGGTTAGAATTTCGCCTGCGCACCATGCTTCAACGAGCTATCATCAAATAGCGAAAGCAGAGAGAGGTAGAATGTCTTCGTGACTTTTTGCTCATTTTGGAGCACCGCTTCCTGCAAGCGAAGCGAAAGCGAAAATTTTATCAAGTGAAAAGTCAAGCAAATTGAGGAAATAATTATTCCTCTAATCGAAATTCAGTGTGGGTATATGTTACTTAGAGTTGAGCGTTCTTGAAGCTTAAGGCCAACAAATCTCCAGAAGAGAAAATGGCTGAAATCTTCAAATACTAATGCTCAGTAACCTTCATATCCAAAGGTTATAATATTCATTATTATGGGAAAAGAAGAAAATACAATGTTCTGAAAGCTTATCTGTCTTACCTCACAGACCTCTTGAGTCTGTTAGAAAACGTGATTAAACGAATTGCGATAACTACCAAGAAATGAGTTTCTTAGATATTTCTAGGAAGATTATTGCCTCCTTTCTACTGGATGGACTTGTGGTAATGTAATTTGATAATTCGTTGTAATAACTAAGCTGGATTTAGGCCGCGCTATGATTGTGTGACGAAATTTTCACGCTAAAAAGAATATTGAAACATCAGTTAAAGTTTCGGCAACCTATCGCCACCTGCTTTGCCACTGCTTTCGATTCGAGTAATAGAGCTGTAGTAGTCATAGGAAACAAAGATGGCGTTCTAGAGAAGATAATTAGATCTATTGAAGCATTTGGCCAGATGAATTATATATGTATGGAAAACTGAAAATTTTTCGAAATACGAACTGATGTTCCAACATAA